AGAGAGAGAGAGAGAGAGAGAGAGAGAGAGAGAGAGAGAGAGAGAGACACAGAGCATGAGCAGGAAAGGGGCAGAGAGAGAGGGAGACGCAAAGTCTGAAGCAGGCTCCAGGCTCTGAGCTGTCAGCACAGAGCCCGCTGCAGGGCTCGAACTCACGAACTGCGAGATCATGACCTGAGCCCAAGTCAGACGCTCAACGGACTGAGCCACCCAGGCACCCCAATTGTTAGACTTATTTTAAAGGAAGCCTACCTGTATTCTCCAGGGTCATTTGGTTTTTGTGGTGCTTAGAATTTATATAGAGATCTGAACGGGGTAACAGTATAGGAACTCCAAACTTACATTCTTACTGCAGTTAGACAAAGAGGAGCTAAAAGGAAATACATGGACCATAAAATCGGAGATAAATTGGAAGGCCTTTGGTTCACAAAAATTATTCAAAGACAAGAGGTTAAACTCAACATGAATTGAGGACTTAGAAGTCCTGTGTAATTTTGAAGGAGTTCACAGGTTTTCCTTAGAGAATAAAATGACGAAGTCAAGGATTACTTCTCTCAATTTGGTAAAATGGCAATGGCTAACAAGAGTTGACCAGCTGGTGCCCATTCTGGCAACTATACAGGAAATAGCAACTTGGCCTCCGATCTCCCTAAAATTCAATGCTGTTCAAAACAAATTTTAAGAGGCTGAGAAGCAAAATAACTGTGACCGAAATTGGGTAACCATTTGAGTGATACCGGAAATGCACGGAACAGGGAGACCATGACAGGAGAGTGGGGAATATCCCACAAAGGTACATAGAAGTGGCAGCTCTCCAGATCCCCACATTCCCCCCCTGCCCCCCGCAGCCCCGAGGGGGCAAATGGTTTCTATTTCTCACTACTGCCTTTATCATTATGAAATCTGGTCTGGCAGAACTGCCTGCAGATGTCAGCAGTTGAATTCCTACATTTATTAGTTTCCTTCCTTGCCTGCCTTCCCCGATCCTTTCCTACCCCCTTCCATTCACCTAAACTTCTACTGAACATGCCAAATACTATTTAGAGACTGGTAGAATACAAAGGAAATCTAGCACCTTATTTTCAACTTGCTTGTACAACAATTTTCTTCCTTGAAAAAGAAAGATCGGACACCCACCAAAAGCTACTAATACCCAGCAGTCTGTTGGTGATTGCACTCAAGGACAGATCAAGTACTATGGGATCACTGAGGGGGAGCAATCACAGCTGACTGGTGGGATCAAGGAACCCCTGTCTGAGGAGTAGTGTTTGAACTGGCTCATGAAAGGCAGGCAGGTTCCAGAGGGAGGGAAAAGGGATTACCCAGAATTGTGTGTCACCGAGACAAGGGCACAGAGGAAGAGGTGGAAGGGATTGTGAAAGGTTTTACAGTATAAAGAAAAAGGGAAGAGTTATTTGAAAGGGAGGGGCAGGGGAAAAAAAAAAAAAAGTAACTACTACCATCAATAGCTCAGTTACAGCCATGCCCACTTGGTGCTGGTTTTCCACAGGGGTTCTCAAACATTACGCTTACAATATGTTAAAGCCCATATTGCTAGATTCACCCCAGAAGTTTTTTTTGTTTTTGTTTTTGTTTTAATGTGGGGCAGATTCTGAAGCAGACTCCAGGCTCTGCGCAGTCAGCACAGAGCCTGAAGCAGGGCTTGAACCCATGAGCTGTGAGATCATGACCTGAGCCGAAGTCAGAAGCTTAACTGACTGAGCCACCCAGGTGCCCCCACCCCAGGAGTTTCCTCACGGGGAGTTGGGGGAGGGGATTAGTGGGTGACATGAAAATCTGCATTTCTAAGAAGTTCCCAGGTGATACTGATGCTGCTTGTCTGAGGACTAATGTCGAAGGATATATGACAAACAGGTTATTTGCCATTTCTATTTGCTATTTCCTCTGCCTGGAAATTTCTATCCTCAGAGATCTTCACATGGCTCCTGGGCTCCTTTTATTCTTTTTCTCCTGACATTCTTTATCTCTGATCTATGGTTTATCTTCATAATCTTTATCTTAGAACTATGGTTTAATTTTTTGTCATCCAATTAGAATGTAAACCCAGGAGGGATTTATTCACTAGTGCCTAAAGCAGTGGTGTCATTCCCAGCACCTAAATTTCTGTGTTCTTAGGTTTTAAAATAGTACTGGGCACATGGTAGGCAGATAGTGTTGACTAGTATCAAACAAAACCCCTAGGAATAAATTTAGTCCAGGAGGTAAAACACCTGTCCTCTAAAAACTAACACTGAAGAAAAAGACATATTCCATGCTCATGAATTGGAAA